TCAGATGTCTGTGCCTCTAGACATGATCTTCATGCAGGTTCCACCTTGAGCTTTCTGAAGTCCAAGTCTGGTCGTTGTACTTCTCTACTTTCAATCTCTAGGGAGTTCTCCTGCACACCCAAGATTGGTTTAAACGCCTGCGCATGGCATCCACCTGTGCCCAACTCCTTCCCAAGTATGTGAGTTCTCAGAAAGCAGGGACGATCTTCCCTCAGTCAGCAGATGCTTTTTGAGTGCCTGTATGTGCCAGGGTCTGTCCTGTATGCAGCACTGGGCACACAGTGAAAGAGGAGGGAGGAGCGAAACAGAGGAGGGAGGAAAAAAGAGAGCAGGAGGAGGGAGGAAGAGCGAAAGAGAACAATGAACTAAGATCAGGGGTTACAGCCTCTAGACGAGTTTGCCTTTCAACCAGCTCTGAATAGAACTGACTACTTCTTCCTCCTTGCCGACCCCTCACATCACACCTTTCCATTTGCTTGATCCTGCCTTCCACATAGAGGCCAGATATTAAAAACCGGTTCTATCTTAGTAATTGCTCAATGAATTAATGTCACTTTGAATGATTTTTTGTTTGTTTATTTGTTTCTCATCGGAGCCTAAATGGAAAGAGAGAGAGAAAATTGAAACCTCGAAGTTCCTGTAACTAATGTAGAGGTAGTCCTTGAGGTTCGGACGAGATCCATCCGTGTGTCTTTCAGAAAGCATATTGAAATCAGAATGGGTGCTTAGGGCTCTGATTTAAGCTCACTTTAATGCAAGAGAAGGGAGGCCTGGTGGTGCTGTGGATTAGACCCTGGGCTGCTAGTGGTCAGAGCTACCAGCCACTTTGGGAGAGAAAGGTCAGGCTGTCTGTCCCCATGGAGAGTTGCAGTCTTTGAAGCCCTGCAAAGGGTCACTCGGAGCCAGATGGCAGTGGGTTGGTTTCATTGGTGCATGAAAAGACTCCATTATTTAATTATTTTACCTCATTTAAAAACTGCACAGGCAGCCAACGAAGGTGACTGTGAACATTTGTTACAAGTGGCAGCTGGTTCAACCCTTTCTAAATGATACATTTACCAACACATTACCAAAGGATACATGGAAGTAACAATAAAAGACAAGTCGTTGTCCAGAAGTCAAACCCGGTGGGTACTGACTATATCGAAGACCTCAAGAAGTGTCTCAGCAAGCTTTTCACTGGAAGTCCACATCGTTGTATTGCCCAAGTGTCGCACTGAAAGTCCATGTACGTTACACAACCCTCTGAATGGTGCCCGCTCGAGTTGTGCAAGGGAGTTCTTGCTAACAGGTCCGGAAGTCTACACTTCATTCTGACCAACTGACTTGGGCCCATCTGCTCCCCCTTGGAGGCCCTCCTGCGTTTCATCCTCTATAAAACGGTGTGAACTTGAACAGTCTTTTCCAGCCTCCCATGGACTCCAAACCCCTTTTCCTGTGAGTCTTGGACTGGTAATGAAGCCTCGGATCAGCCCGAAGTGACCCCTGACATGGAGGTCAGACATACCTCTCCGTGCCCCACACGTATGGCCAATTCTGATGCCATCTGTCACTCCCACAACAGGCTCATGAGGATCAGGAAGTACGTAGGCAACTTCTGGAACCCTCCCTCCCCCCCGCCCGCCCGAAGGGAATAGCACACCCCTGTCTTCTTCAGAGCAGGGGAGTGCTCTCAGCTCCCCTCTAGACGGTGCACGAAGCAGGCCCTTCTCGCAGTGGCGTCCCTGGGGTCAGTCTCATTCAGCATGGAAGCTGAGGTTCACCTCCCCCATGGTTACCCTCCTATCCAGACCTTTCAGAATTCTTAGCCAGGTGTATTATCCATTTATCCATTTATCCACATCAAACAATATGTGTTCAATCTGGTTATAAATTTCTTGAATGTAATTTTCTAGGTTAGATAAATACTAAGAACAAAAATTGTTGCATAGAATCTTTCAACATTGAGTTACAACATGATGAGTAATTAAGTGGAAGCTTTTAGGGGGTGGAGGGGTGTTATTTCCTTCTTTCAAAGCATTACTTCATTCTCAAAAAGTGTATTAATATAAATTTACAAATTCTAATTAACATAGTGTTAAAGCTAAGACATCAGAAAATCTGACCCCCCAAAATAAGCAACTATAACAGCTTTGGCAGCAGTGAAAACAACACACCTTCAAACTTTCATTGTCATTGGATAATATTGGCAGCTCTGACCCGAGTGCATGAGAAGGTTCGAAAGGTAAATTAGCATAGGGTTTTAGTTCTATCGGTATATTGTACATTTAAGTTGGGCTTATAAAACAATGTTTTTGTTGCTCTAACTCACTGCGGGAGGATTTTATAAAAAATAAGAAATTCCTGCTAAAACACTGCACAAACATTTTATAGACAGTCATTTGGGGGGCACCTCCTTTGACATTGTCACCCTGTGAAATCTTCACCCCCTTGTCACACCACAGCACGCGGGTCCCTTCTCAGCTGCCTTATTCTCCCGCCTCTCAGCCCCCTGAGGACAGGGCTTCTCAAGAATTAAAAAACAAACATCATTTTTTTAACAAACATTTTTAGAGTTGTTTTTGAAGAATATCTTACAAAATTGAATTGAATATCTAATTTTGAACATATTCTTCATAGGCAAGTTTCTAATTTTCCCATGTAATAAGTACTATTTTATCTCACATGAAATTAAGTATATACTAAAAAAGCATTTTTTGAGATACAATTTTAAAGTGACCCATGTCATGTTGGGTTTGAAAGACCAATGTGTATTTAGATATGGAAACGTGACTGCGCCCCTATGTACTACATACGAACGCTGAAGAGATGAGTGTAACTTGGGGACCTGGGGAAGACCATCTCGAGGCATATGTGCAAAATGAAGACTCATTTTTAGGGATCTGGTACTTGGAGTTTTCAGCATCTGTGTTTCTTATACCATCTATCTTTGTCCCGTGGTTATTATGGTTATAGAAATTAAGCGATGCACATAGTTAAAAATGCACAATCATTTAGTTTATATCATTTTGACAGTCACAATCCAAAGTGGTGTTCAGCTAAACCCACCCTCCCACAGGAGCTCCCAAACACTTCCACTTGAAAGAGACCACTTCCACTCTTTTCATATTCGTGTTTTAGATGGAAATGGAGATAGGTGGACATCTTAACGCTTGTAATGATGTTATTAATGGGCTCTTTGTAGAATGTCAACCTGTGTGCTCTCCCTGAGGCACACACGGGGTCACCAGTTGGGAAGTGTCAGTCAGATGCTCTTGGACTGTCCGAGACTCACCCTCCATGTCCCAGTCATTTGGGCCTTGCTGTTTAGCCGTGGCCAGCCCACGGGCAGGGGTGGAGAGGGAGAGCACGGCCTAAGGATACTGGCTTTCCGTGGAAGGGGAATCAGTGAGAGATTTGTGGGGATAATGAAATAGAATATTTCCAACTGGGACCATCCCAGTAGGTTTGGTTGACTGAACGCATCATACCAGGTTCTAGCCACTCATTTCTAGGCTAGCAGTTAGCATACCGCAGTCTACAGGCCAAAGCCTATCAGCTGCCTGGTTTTGAATGGCCTACAAGCTTCAAATTGTTTATTTAAAAAAAAGTTTTTTAATGGATGAAAAAAATCAGCAGTAAAATCCTATTCCATGGTGTGAAAATTATATGAAATGCAACTTTCCATGTCCTTAAATAAAGTTGTATTCGAATGGTGCCATACACATTATTTACATATTGTCTACGATGATGTCCAGCCTACCACAGCATAGTTAAATCATGGCGATAGAGACAGTATAGACCTAAAAGATTGCTGTCTGACTCTCCAGACAGCTGCTGGCCAATGTTTTAGGGACTTGATCTACATTGGGCCTGTGGAGGAAGCAGAAGAAAACAAGGTGGAGTCTCTGTTCACGCAGGATGGGCAGAGAAGAAACAATAAACATAATCTACAACATGAAATCAGATGTTATAAGATAGTAAGTGCTTTGTAACAATAATGCTGCAAGCAGAAAACATGAGGCAGGGTGCCTAGGGCTCAGAAGAGCTGCAGGTCGCAATATTAAGTTTCAATTTTAGGTCTTCCTTGCTGTAACTAAAAGTCTTACCTTGATCTAAAGCCCTGACTTAAGGTCCTGCCTTAGCCAGGGTATTTCAAATTGAAAAACAATTCACGTGTCATGGGGAAATCACTGTGGCCGTGGAATCTGAGCAGAATCTGCAGGGCGGAGGAAGGAACAGAGGGCTTGCATTTCCATATCAAAGAGCGATGGCTTATTGAAGATGGCTTTGACCATGATTTAGGATAGATGGAGAGAACCTGTTGTGCCGTGGGACTTTTGAAGTCAGACAGTCTGAGGTTTAATCGTCTGCTCTATCACTTACCATCTGAGTACCCTTGAGCAAATCAATATAAAATCTCTCCCAGCCAAAAGCTCCTCTTTTTAAAAATGGTGAAAGCATCTGTTTCATTCACTGTGGTAACCTGGAAATGAGGTCATCATTTTAGGAGACTTACACACAGGGCATGGCACTTGGTAGGTGCTCAAGTAAGGTCTCTACCTTCCCTTGACTTCTAATTAGATTTAAAGCCTTGGCTCCTGATCAAAGATTTTAGAAAGTGCCCTTTAACCTCTGTTAATTATGGAAAAGCCCTAAACCCAGATAAAACAACCAGCAAGTGACCAAGAGACACACTGAACAGAGAGGCTCGCTCCCTCAGATCGCCTCAGCCCACAAAAAGAATGGCTCCTGCTGACTGTCTTATGCCAATGCCGGAGTTTACTACTCCTACAGGGCTTCTTCCCGGGACCTTTCGCCACCCCTGCAGCAGCACCGCCGCTTCGGTCATCTCGGATGGCTCCTCTGAAAACCATCCGTGGAACCGTGAAGCCACAGCTTCCGTCACCCTTCACCAGATGCCCTGACCGCAGAGCAACGGCGAAATCGAACGTCAGAAGTGACCTGCTCTTGTCTTTGACGCACTGTAGAACTAAACTTTGTTTCTCTCTGCTTCCTAGGGGCGCAAGAGCGAACAGTCCATCTGAAGCCGTGGTCCTTCCTCCTGTGCCTTCCTGGTGGCCAGTCTCTTACAGTGTTTACCTGCGGATTTTTGCTCCCTGAACTTTTTCTTGCTGTTTTGATAACATACCAAGCATTACACATTTTAGGCCTATGGGGTTGTTACATTTGTCTTTTCTGATTTATAGGCTATCATATAGAAATGGAAATGATATCATTTTTGCCATAGAAACTTTCATATCTAAAATATAAATTTGCAGCGAGTGGATGTTTTCTTTAAATCCCCCTTGTTCTCTGCATGGTGTTTCGTTAAGTTTTAATTCCATATTATCTATATATATATTTTAAAACCCTAACCTTTTCTCAGCCTTTCTTCATTACTATTACCTACCCCCCACCCAAAAAAAACACCCAGACTTATTGCTATCAAGCCAATTCTGACTCATAGCAACCCCGCAGGACAGAGTAGAACTGCCGCTTTTGGATTTCTGAAGCTTGACATCTTTACGGTAGTAGACAGCCTCATCGCTCGCCTGCAGAGCTGCTGCTGGGTTCCAACTGCTGGCCTTGCAGTTAACAGCTCAATGTGTAGCCCATGATGCCACCAGGACTCCTTTTTACCATTACTAGAGTGACTCTAAGTCTTCAAAGCACAATTCAAACACTGGTTTGAGAAAGGCTTCCCTTAGTGGATGCTGGCCCCAGCTCTCTGAATCTGGTCTTTGGTACCCATAACAAAAAGCTCATGATGAGAGAAAAACATTACAGGCCTCCCCTTTTTCCCCTTTGATTTTGGCGAAAATACACACAGTAGAACAGACACATACATTCATCTCTATGTGCAACCTAGGAACACTGGCTACATTCCTCATGTGTGTCACCATTCTCGTGACCTCTACCCAGTTTGTCACCACCACTGACTTAGACTCCTCCTTGAACTCCTCGTCTATGCTTTAGGGTTCCTGCTGACAGTTTGATCTCCTATAGACGATTCTTTAAATGAGCACATGGCTCAGATCGAACATTCTTTAATCATTGTGTTTAGTGTACAGATGACTTCTGAAGATTATTTTTGATTCACAATTTGGAGATTTCCTCAGAATAAGAGATCTTGGAGTTCCTCGGGTCTCAAGGGGTTCAGTAAGTCTGGATTCTGCAAGAATTTGACATTCCTTTTCACTGTTTTATCCCTTTTGATCTGAATCCATCTATTAATTCTTGACTCAAAATACTCAGGAATGGTAGCCAGACACCATCCAGTTCTTCTGGTCTCCTGACTAAGGAGGGGATAATTCGTGAAACCAGTGAGACTCACAGCCCATTTCCTTCTTCAAATTCTGGGTCTCCTTCGTCCTCTGCTGCTTCAGGCAAATAAAGTCTTAAGGTCAGATTCTCATCACATATCCCAAGATATATACCCTGGACAGCTCACCCATCCTGTGAAGCAACCTCTTTCATTTAGGAGGTTGTCTATACATATGCTTCCTTATATCCCCTCTATCTTGGTCCTGCATCTGCAGCTCCTATTGCCATTGTGAAGTGGTTCTCAAAATGTGGTCTCCAGACTAGCAATCCAGGATCTCCTGGGAACTTGTAGGGATGAGATATTCTGGGAATCTAGTCCCAGAGCAAGCCCTGGTGATATAGTGGGTTACTCATTAAGCTGCTGACCACAACTGCAGCAGTTCGAAATCACCAGCCACTCCTACCATGAAAGATGAGGCTTTCTACTCCCACAAATAGTTACTGTTTCAGAAATGCACATAGGGCAGTTCTTCTCTGCCCGATATTGTTGTTGTTGTTGTTGTTAGATGCCATGAGTCAGTTCCAACGTATGCACAACAGAATGAAACCGTGTATGGTGCTGTACAATCCTCAGCATTGCTCCTATGCTTGAGCCCATTGTGGCAGCCATGGTGGCAGCCCATCTCCTGGAAGGGCTTCCTCTTTTTTGCTGCTCCTCCATTTGACCAAACATGATGTCCTTCTCCAGGGACTGATCTCTTCTGACAACATGTCCAAAGTATGTAAGACAAAGTCTTGCTTCTGAGGAGCACTCTGGCCATACTTCTTCCAAGACAGATCAGTTTGTCCATGGTACTTTCACGATTCTTCTCCAGCACCACAATTCAAATGCACCAATTCTTCTTCGGTCTTCTTCATTCAATGTCCAACTCTCACATGGTCATGGGAAAGACCATGGCTTAGGTCAAGCACACCTTAATCTGCAAAGTAACATCTTAAATTTCCAACATTCTAAAGAGGTCTCGTGCAGCAAATCTTCCTAATGCAATTCGTCTTTTGATCTCTTGACTGTTGCTTTCATGAACATTGATTGTGGATCCAAGGGAGACAAAATCCTTGACAACTTCAACCTTTTCTCCATTGATCATGATGTTAGCTGTTGGTCCAGTTGTGAGGACTTTGGTCTTCTTGACATTGACTTGTAACCCATAATGAAGGCTGCAATTCTTGGTCTTCAGCAGCAAATGCCTCAAGTCTTGCTCACTTGCAGGAGCAAGGTTGTATCAAAAGCCTACCACAGTGGTTGATAAGTCTTCCTCCAGTCCTGATGCCACATTCGCCATATAATCCAGCTTCTCTGATGATCTGCTCATACAGATTGAATAAGTATGGTGAGAAGAGACAACCCTGATGCTCACCTTTCCTGATTGTAAACCATGTAGTTATTCCCTCTTTCCATTCTCACAATGCCCCTTAATCAATGTTCAAATTCCACATGACCATAGTGAAGTGTTCTGGAATTCCCATTCTTCTCAAAGTTACCCAGTTTGTTATGATCGGCACAGTCGAATGCCTTGGCACAGTAACACACAAGTAAGCATCCGTGGCAGTTACAAAATCTGTGAATGTGCAAAGCAGTAGAGTCTAGCCTGTCAATCAGGTCATAGCCAGCAAGGCCTCTGTGTAGGTATGGCCTTCTCCAGAGCATTCTAGCAACTCCTGTCTTCTCCCTGGAGACTAGACACATATGCTCTGTTTGCTATTCCTATTGACAAGCCACATGGAGCTTCACAGAGCCCTGGAGCTGGAGGAGCCCCGTGGAGATCCACACCAGCTCTGAGATGCCTCTACCACCACTGGATCCACAAGACTTTCTACTCCCTGGCCTGTGATCTTCCTGCATTCAGCATCATGACATGTGCTGTGTGAGTCTGAAGAGAACTTTATAGACTGGTATCAGACATTGGGCTTAGGGACTTGATCTGAACTGGGCTGTTTTCTTAATATATAATTACTCTTTATATAAAGTTCTTTCTTATACACATATGAATGTCTATGAATTTTGTTTCTTTAGTCTACCTGGACTAACACAAACATCTTTCTGGTATTCTCTGCCTTTAGCCAAGATTCATCTGACATCAGCACTGATATTCCTTGTCCCACGTCCTCTTCTGCCTTGTGGAGTTGCTTATAGGTCAGAACTGACCCGATGGCAGGGAGGTGAGAAGTTTACTCCAGGTGACTCTGATGCTCACTAATGAGTGAAGAAAGGGTAGGGCTTTGGGATGAGAAACACCTGAATTTCTATTTTGGCCTTGCCTCTTATCTGCGAAAAATCCTCTTTGGGCTTTAGTTTCCTTCCTGATAACGGCACTAATCAGCATAGCTAATTCATGGACTAGCTAAAAGAATGCAAGAATTTCAAAGGTAAGGCAAAGTCTAATCATAAAAAAAAACCTCATTAATTTTGAGTTAATTCCAACACAAATGGACTGTTAGAGTAGAACTGCCCGCACAGGGTTTCCAAACCTGCAAAATTTATAGAGTCAGACTCCTACATCTTTCTCCCACTGAGCAGCTGGTAGGTTTGAACTGGCAACGTTTCTGTTAGCAAGCAAACACTTCACCACTGTGATACCAGGGCTGCTTGCAGGACTCAGAAGGATCTCTGGGTGAGATTCTGAAGGATTCATCAATGCTGACTTATTGGGTCTCTTTCAATCTTGGTCGATGGAGAGCTTTGTTTGAGGATGGTATAGAATAGAAACTTAAGACCTAACACTGTAGACCTGACCGCATCAGTACCCTCCCTTTACAGATGAAATATCTGGTGTTTAGAGAGGATGTGTGATGGGTTCTAGGACACAGCTCAACTGTGATGTCAGGAAGACCTCTAAATTCATCCCAGACCCAAATTCTTCAACCAACACAGTATCTGCAGCTTAATGGAGTGATAAGTTATCTAGTGACGAAACTAGTCACAACTTCATGTCTTTGTGTAATGTCTGAATTAATTTAATATTATTTGATCATTTCCACTCGGCATTGACACCTTGGTTATTCCTTTATCTACTTACAGTTTGTATTATGTATAAACTATATATCATATATGTACACAGAGAGATGGTGCGGGGAGAGAGTTGGCGGATGGGTTTCCTCAGGATTGCCAAGGTCTAAGCAGTTGACTACTGTGGCGAAATGAAATTATTTGGTAGGTCTCATTTATTCGCAGTCTTTGTGACTTCCACCCTCTGGTTGGTTGGAACAGAGCAAAGAGTATATGAAACTCTCAAGGAGAAGATTGGTCCGTTCTCCCATTCCACTGGGTATAAAGTGAGCCATTTCAGAAGCAGAAGCAGAGAAACCTAAAACCAGCAGAATGAGGAGCCACACCCACCCAGCTTTTCTGGCCCGGAGGATCTGCGGCTGCAGAGCCTTGACGGAGGAGCCACGAGGCAATGGGGACCACGGGGCAGCGAATGCTCTCTGCCTTCAGGCAGGAGGCTGGCTTGCAGAGTGAGGTGTCCTTTGGGCGTGGATCAGCACTAAAACTCACAGGGGCAGTCCTACCCTGGCCTATAGGAGCGCTGTGGTGCAGCGGGGACTCAACGGCAGTGAGTTGCGTGGTTGAGAAAGGCGCTTGGCAACCCCCTTAGCCAAGCAGGGCAGAGGTCCAGGGGCCGCTTGACTGCGAGGCAGAGACCAGTGAGAGACGTGCGTGCCACGTGGTTGAGAAAAGGCACTGCCGTGGGCAAAAGGACGACACCCTTATCGTGCTTTCTCATCTTAACTGTGGTAACCTGTTAACCGCCCCAAGTCCCTGTGATCAGGAGCGTTGCCTATGAGTTCGGTGCGACCTTTGTGATGGCGTATGGAAGCCAGCAGAGAAGTTGAGTGCAAGGCGACAGGCAGTTGGCATCTAAACAAATACTGCCGTGGGTCAATTGTGACTCAAAGTGACCCTGCAGGACAGAGGAGA